CAAAACCTTTCCTGAATATGTTTCAAAGTGAATCCAAACACTGTTAATTAAATTCCAATATACTAGAAACATCTTAGACAATACAGAATCCATATTATGAAACTAAAAGTTAATATTGCTATTAAATTTGCATTTACAATTGCATCAACAGTGTGACATCTATAGTACCTATCTAGAAGAATTGAAATTTCACATCACTTTTAAGTACTCTCAAAGGAGACAGTCATAGGCATTTTTAAGCAGAACAGGACAAAAACCTCTTCTACACTATATGTTAAAAACTAATTTATTCCTCTGTTAATGATTACCTTACAGTTTTTCAAATGAATCCTTTAGGTTGCATTACATTACATCTGTATGGCATCACTTTTATTCTAGAAGAAACTACAGGAAAGACAGCAAAGGACTGCAAAGCTGATTTCACTGTCTGGTGGTAATAGAGTAGAACACAAACTGTACTTTAAATATTGGAAAAGTCCCAACATCAATTTTTTTTTTCCCACAGAATATTTCTTAGCATAGTAAACACATGTAAACTCTTGGTGACCCCAGATCTTCAGCAACATGTTTTCATAAACTTGCAACAGCACTTCTGTTTAGGTGTTTAAGAAGTAATCACACTACAATTTCTTCCTCAAAGGTAGGATCTGGCAAGTTCAAGGCTCAGGTCTGCAAATATTTAGAAACAGATCTGAAGAGAAATGCTACAAGGCTTAGTCACATTTTGCACACACACAGTTTCACTAAGCATACATCATCACAGAACCTGGATCAGAGGATGTTAAGCAAGTTATTTAATTTATGTGAGCCCCTATACCTATGGGAATCTACAAACATGCATACATATTAAAAGGTAAGAAAGACTTGAGAATACAGTGATGTCAGCCCATTCATATGCAAAATATGAATAAGTAAAATTAAAATCAATGGAAAAGGTCATATGCAAAATATGAATAAGTAAAATGAAAATCAATGGAAAAGGAGAAGAACTAGCAGCTACAGCTGATGACATTTTTAAGAGGTACAGTACTCTAGACTAAATAGGATTTGGGCTGGCATAGAAAAAGGATCAAAATATGAAAACATAATGAAATAAACTGAATTACATGATTTTATAATTTAAAGAACACTAAGACTGAAGTGACTACAGTCAAAAATAGAAATACCCTGTTGGAGAGCTTACACACCCACAAAAAGGCTTAGGAGATCTTGCCTGTCTTAGAGTAAAGTCCATCATGACATGAGGTTGTTCTCTTGCTTATAACTACACCTAACTCTATAGACAAAAGAATGGTTAAAAGTAACCTTAGCAATTGAGACACATGAAATGAGTTACAAGTTTCTCATCCAAAATGCTCCAGATTTAAAAAACAAAAAAAAAAGGTTGCCCTAAAAGGTGAAAATTCTTCAAATTTTTGTTTCTATATGATTATTTTATGGAGAAACAAACAAACAAAAGATAAAAAATACGGAATAACTGTTCACCATTGACTACTAAATGGTTTACAAAATAAAGAGCTTTGTCACAAAACTTAGAATCCACATATCTGGAAAAGGAAAAAGTAAGAATGGCAATCAAATGAAGCTAAACCAGTTGTCTCCATTCCAGTTCTGTGTCCACCTTACAAATACCAAGAGCTCTGTGCCTCTGAGTCACTGTCTCGAAACACCATTACCAACAGCTTCTCAACCTCTGCTTCCATGTTGAACTGCTCAATCTTTAGGAAAAATATTTTTCCTGCAAAAGCTTCATAACAATTCAATCCTGCTGTTAGGTTTTAGGGAGACCATTTGTAACTTGCTCCTCTAATCTCCATTCAATTTATTCAGATTTCATTACCAAATTACCAGGAGGTAGGCTATTTAAGAATTTTCATTCCTGTTCTTTAGAGTGCAAAAACCCAACTGTTGTGTTTTGGGGTTTTTTTTATCCAAAAGGAGAAACTCTTTCAGTGTTGTCTTGAGGTTGATTTGCCCCTTGTCACTTTTACAGGTCACACAGAAAACATGACAAAGACTCAGGTGATACAATTCCATTGCTAACATGGGTTTCCTTGAATAAAACAATCAATGTTTCTGTGACTGGAACTTATTGTTAAAATGCAAATAATGATATTGTCTTATATATTAAGAATGTTCACCAACAAGTTCAACAAGAGCTTAGACATTACAGCAAAGCTGTTATATTCATTAAAAAGAATTTCAGAGATAACGAAGCAGATGTCCAGTGTGGCTGACTTCTCTGCAGTGTGCTGGGGAAGATGCTCTGTCACATTACTATTAAAAACCTGTGATCTGCTCATTGCTTTGCCACTTTATGACTATTCTCAATTTGAAAATAATTTGAACTGTCCCTCCAAGCCGACCTGGATAGCCCCATACAGACACCTGAGAAAGCTTGTGTTAAGCAGCATTCAAACCCAAGGAAAACATACAGTGCAGAGAGGAAAGATGAGATTGTTTCAAACATATCCAACACTTCTATGATACTGCATTCCTGGAAACATGGTTCTTTCTCTCTCACATCTGCCATTATATGTCCTCTCATATGTGGCTTAACTTTACTGTGACCTTCAGAAGCTATTTTATAAAGAACCATTCATAAATATTTTCTGTTGAATGTCTGCATTTATGACTGCATTTTATGTTGGGCAACTGCACACAAAAAATACGAAGCTGAACCGAAACAATATTGTACTTGTGAGGAATAAAAACATTTATGAATAGGGAAAAAATATTCGGCTAATGTTTCGTATTTTATAGTTTAGAAAAGATGAAAACCAAAGCTTTTATGTTTAAATGAACATTTCTATAAAATGATTTACCTTAAAAGTGAATTTCTATAAAGAACAAAAGGAAAAAGCATTACTTGCCCAGGACATCTAATATAAACCTTGATGAATATGAAAGGAGCTGCAGGCTACACTGTCTGTGGAATATGGATATCAGCAGAGAATAACCTTAGCTGCCAAGTATGCAGACTATGAAATAAAGGGGGAAATTCTGTCACTAAAGTGACAGAGTATTCAGAACACTGAAAAGTTTGCACCAGGTCCCTGGTTACAGCTACATGACCAGAAGCTTATTGAACATGCAAACCCATAAACTACTGCTGGAATGTAACAGATTTGGTGAAACAAGAGTAGCCTCTGGGAGGAGAATATGAAGAACAAATGTTCTCGAACTACTGATGCCTTCAAAACTTCTCAACATGAAATAAAAATCCAAAGTCATTACTAATAAACTTAAATAAGGCCCAACAACAGTCTGAGAGAAATCACTTAGATCTCGAAGAATGAAAAAAACCAAACTAAACCCTAGCAGAAAAGGGTGATTATTCTTTTAACCACTGGCAGTATAGATTTGGTCATCTCTAAATAACATCCTTACACTTAAATAGAGAAATCCACTTGGGCCTTGCACAGAAATCCAAAGTGAAAACAGGCAATGTGTGAACCAGTTTCCCTCATGATATTTGAAAAGATGTTGATGTCAAAAGCTGTGCTTATTTAATTACATAATTCTGAAGAAGTAGATTGCAACTGTGTTATGTAAATTTAAACCCAAATATATTCATGAAAGTAGAGAGTTAATTTCTCAAATTCAGAGAAATTACACTAACAGGAAATAATGGAATATAAATTCACCTATGCTCTATAAATTCACTCGTAAGGCTCCAGGATGCTATAAAGCACTTCCACATGCTTTTGTTAATTTTCATTCACAAAGTGCTTAACTATGTTTAAATTATGCATATTCTTCACTGAATTTAGTTTTATCTTACATAACTCAGAGTGAACAAATGCTATTTAATTGCAAATGCACTTACAAGCACCTTTTGTATTCATATTACTGACAAAAATAAGTTTGGTACCATGGCCATTATCTAGGTTTGTATGAATGCAATATTTTTACTAGATATTTCTGGATATTTTTTTCCCTCCAGTATTGGGATGTTTTAATACTGTCTCATATATTGAGTATTTCTATTGTTACACAGGAACTGCACAAATACAGAGCAGACTCCTTGCTCTGCTTGCTTCTGGACTGAGTCCCAGCTTGCACATTTAGACAGGGTTAATAAAAATTTAGATTATGTCTGGATTTTTAAGATGAAATTGAGAATAGTAAACAGATGATATTCATCTGTATTTACTGTATGTTCATAAAGGTTCAAGTAAAGTAACTAGAATTTAAGTTTTGGCAAAGGCAAACTCCTCATGTTCTCCCCAGCAATTCCTCAGGAAATTACAGCAGAAACATACAATACTATTCTGTGACTTAAATATTAGAATTTGGTGAAAAATCCTTAAATTTATCTGAGTCACTTTAGACGAGAGGGTTCAAATTAACAGCAGCATAACCTTG